CCAACCCATCCAACCCAACCCATCCAACCCAACCCAACCCAATCCAACCCAGCGCAACTCAACCCAACCCAACCCAACCATCCAACCCAACCCAACCCATCCAACCCATCCAACCCAACCCAACCCATCCAACCCAACCCATTCCAGGATTTTCCAATCCCTGATTTCAGCTCCATTTGCTTGGCATTGCCCATCCCTGGGTCGGCCCTTCAGGACTTTGGCTTCAAACTTCTCTTTTGGGGTCAGAAGTGACTCCTGTGCTGAAAGGCCTGAAATGAGACCCTTGATTAAATCCCCAATTAATTAACTGGAGGTCCACAAGCAGCCATTCCCTGGTTCCCTTGATTAAATCCCCAATTAATTAACTGGAGGATCACGAAGGACCAGCCATTCCAGGGTGGTCCCTGCCCTGTCCTGGGCACCTTTGAGGTGCTGGCTGGTGGGGATAACCTAGGCAGGCTCTCTCTGGTGTTCCATTACTCCTTGTAGTACTGCTACTTCTTGTACTACTCATTGTTGCATTGATTGATTACATTGATTGATTGCATTGGTTGATTACATTGATTGATTACACTGTTTGATTACATTGACTACATTGATTACATTGATTGATTGCATTGATTGATTACATTGATCACATTGTTTGATCACATTGTTTGATCACATTGATTGATTGCATTGATTGATTACATTGATCACATTGATTGATTGCATTGATTGATTACATTGTTTGATCACATTGATTGATTACATTGTTTGATCACATTGTTTGATCACATTGTTTGATCACATTGATTGATTACATTGATTGATTACACTGTTTGATTACAATGTTTGATTACATTGATCACATTGTTTGATCACACTGTTTGATCACATTGTTTGATCACATTGATCACATTGTTTGATCACATTGTTTGATCACTTGTTGCTGCGATATTTCGGTTTCTTCAGGGCAGAGCCACTTGGGATCTTCCTTATCTCAGTCCTTATCACTCACAAGGAGTCTTCCTTATCTCAGTTGTTTCAGGAGGGATACTCCAAAAGGCTCCTTAGCTTCTTGTTTCTCATGTTTATTAATATAGAATCAAATTATTATTATTATTATTATTATTATTATTATTATTATTATTATCATCATCATCATCATCATCATCATCATCATCATCATCATCAAAAGACTTGGCAGGTCTTCCCCAGACCTTTTCGCACAAATTCAATCCCATCATAGGCTGGCTCACTTTGGCTTGAAAAGCACAAAATGGCCCCAAAATATGCAGTTCTTTTATCTTTATACTTATTCTTACCCAATTAACTTATTAATTAAGCAATTAAATAATTTTTCTTAATGACTCAGTGACCCATCACCTGAGTGCTGCACTGAGGCATTCTCTGTCCCATCACCTTATTACCCAAAATTATTATTTTATTATTTATTATTATTTATTATTTGGGATTATTACCCAAGAACCTCTAGAAGAAGAAGAAGAAAGAAGGAAAAGAGACAACACCCTAAATCTTCCATCTTGTCTTCTGTTTTCTAAACTAGTTTCTAAACTTTTTTTAAGAAACTCTCTAATTTACACACTCACACTTTTAGTTTTTCTATTTAACAGTTGTTTTCAGGGTGTTCTATGAAATTCAGTGTTTTCTTGGATGTCAGAGCCAGGCGTCAGAGACAAGGACAATTTCTGTGCCTCTGACTCCAACATTTGGGTCCCTCTGCACCTTGTCCTTGGAGCCTCTCACGCTTCTGCTCGGGGTCTCCCTTGGGGTTGGGGCTTTCTCCATCTCCCTGATCCCAGCTTCAAGTTCTGCCAAGAGCAGCTCCAAATCTCCAGCTTGCTCCAAATCCTGCTCCTTGTGCTGCTGGAGACCTTGTGGGACCCTGAGGGGTTTGTGTGTCTGGGAGCTGTGGTGGGCCAGCCCCTCCTTGTCCCCCTGGTGGGACCCTGAGAGGTCCTGAGGGGTCCTGAGAGGTCCTGGTGGGACCCTGAGGGGTTCTGTGGGGTCCTGGTGGGACCCTGAGGGGCTCTGTGGGGTCCTGGTGGGACCCTGAGGGGTTCTGCGGGGTCCTGGTGGGACCCTGAGGGGCTCTGTGGGGTCCTGGTGGGACCCTGAGGGGTTCTGCGGAGTCCTGGTGGGACCCTGAGGGGCTCTGCGGGGTCCTGGTGGGACCCTGAGGGTCTCTGTGGGGTCCTGGCCACCTCTGCTGCTGCTGGCACTGGCCCAGGACCGGCTCTGCTGAGGGCACCAGGTCTGTTCTGGGGCTGGAGCCCGGCCAGGAAAGCCCTTGGTGACATCCATGGGGACACGGAGCTCCCTTTGGGACCAGAGCTCCCTTTGGGACAGTCCCCAGGAGCGGGGAGCCCAGCCAGGTGTGAGATCAGCCCCTGGATCCAGGCTGGGGGCTCACCTCGGTTCCCAGGCTCCCTCCTTGCCCTCCCTTCCACCAGAGCGGGGTTTGTAACTTCTAACAGGTTTATTCCAGGTTTTTATTTGGGGTTTACGCAAAGCCAGCACAGAGACAAATAAATATTTGGTTCTCACTTAGCGAGCTGAGTTAAATTCTGACAGGAGGAGGTGTTCTGTCCTCTCCAGGGTGACAGGGAGAGGCTGTGTCACATAACCACGGCTGCAGCCCCGCTCAGGGGTTCTGCTTCATCCCAGCGCTCCCAGGGTCCCTGCCCAGAGCCTGGATGTTCCTTCACCCAACCCGGGCTAAAGTTCAGGTGATTAATGCCATTAATATCGGCGCTAATGAACCCACCTTGCGCTCACTGTGGCCCCCAGGAGAGTGTTTAAATCAGCTCTTCGCGGGCAGAGCCAGAGCTCCTCATCTGGGGAGCGTTTTCAGCTTCCTGAGCCTAAATCCTGACTCTGCACGAGCCACTGGAGGTTGGGAAGAGCTGCCAGTGGGATTTCCTGGTGCTCTGGGTTATCCAGAACTGTGCAAGTCTGTGCACTTACCCCTGCGTGTGCTCAGAACCAAAATGGGTGAAATCTGCAGAGGAGCAGGACAGGTTTAGTTCAGCAGGAGAGTTTGGCATGGTCTGTTTGGATCCTGGGGCTGAGGGAGCTGGGAAGGGGCTGGAGAATTGCTGAGGGAGCTGGGAAGGGGCTGGAGAATTGCTGAGGGAGCTGGGAAGGGGCTGGAGAATTCCTGAGGTGGCTGGGAAGGGGCTCAGGCTGGAGCAAAGGAGGCTCAGGGGGAATTTCTGGCTCTGCACAAGTCCCTGGCAGGAGGGGACAGCCGGGGGGTATTTGGGATTTGCTCGCAGGGAACAGGGACAGGAGGAGAGGGAACGGCCTCAGGCTGGGCCAGGGGAGCTCAGGGTGGAAGCTGAGCCAACAATCCCACTCCTTCCCATGTCTGCAATCCCATCCTTTCCCTTTCCTGCAATCCCATCCCTTCTCTTGCCTGCAATCCCATCCTTTCCCTCTTCAGCAATCCCTCTCCTTCCCTTTCCAGAGACCCCATCTCTTCCCTTTCCCGCAATTCCATTCCTTCCCTTTCCAGAGACCCCATTCCTTCCCTTTCCAGCAATCCCTTCCCTCTCCAGCAATCCCACTCCTTCCCTTTCCAGCAATCCCACTCCTTCCCTTTCCAGCAATCCCTTCCCTCTCCAGCAGTCCCATCCTTTCCCTTTCCAGCAGTCACATCCTTTCCCTCTCCAGCAATCCCACTCCTTCCCTTTCCAGCAATCCCTTCCCTCTCCAGCAGTCCCATCCTTTCCCTTTCCAGCAGTCCGACTCCTTCCCGTGGGCTCCCCCATCCCGGGTCTGCCCGTCCTCCCCCTCTCCCACTCTGAACTCACACACCATTTCTCGCTCTCCTCTCCAGGTGGAGGTGTCCCTGTGGATTTTTCCAATCCAGCTCCCTGTTCCCGATAATTGTGTGCGGGGCTGCGCTGACAGCCTGCGAATGGGGTGTGATGTCCATAATCAGCCGGGGAGAGCTGCAGCCCTCCCGCTGCCCCTGTCCTCGCTCGGGAGACATTCGGGAGCTGGAGGAAGTCAGGAGAGGGATGGAGGGGATGGAGCGTGGCCTGGCTCCCTCCTCCATGGGAGCAGGAGGAGAATCCCAGCGGATCCGAGGAGCTTCTGTGCTAAATGAAGGTTGAAATGAAGCGGTGCCTGGCTCCAGAGCCTGCATCTCTGCGCTCAGAAGCTCCTGTTCCTGCACATCCCTTTCCCCTGTTCTCCGGTTCCAGAAGGGAGTGCTTGGATGTCCCAGACTGGAAACTCAGCCTGGCAGCTCCTCCAGGGGCCCAGAAACGGCTGGAGCTGCAGCAGCCATTCCCAAAGGCACAGCCCTGAGGCTGCAGTGGGAGACAGGGACATGGGGTTTTCTGGGAATGCTCCCAGTGCCCGGCACCATCCTGTCCCTGCAGTTAGGAGCACCTGGCACTGCCGGGTCCTGCCAAGCCCATCCCTGGGAGTGTCCAGGCCAGGCTGGACGGGGCTTGGAGCAGCCTGGGCTGCCGGGAGGTTTCCCTGCCCGTGGCAGGGGGTTGGACGTAGATGATCCTTAAGGTTCCTCCCAACCCAGCTTGCTCCGGGGTTCCCCAGCTCCATGTGCCTCTCTGCAGCATTTTCTCTCTCGTTTTGCTGTGGTGTCTCCATTTCCAGCAGGTTTGTTCTCATCCCTTCTCTTCCCTCTGCCCCAGCCCATCCCCACAACCCCCAGTGCTGCCTCTGGACAGGATCCAGGTGCATGGAAAACTCGGGATGAGACAGCACCCTCCTGTCTTGGGCATGGCCCCTCATCCTCCTTTCTCCACCATCTCCCAAACCAACTTTGGCCAGTTCTCAGCATGAATCCTGCTCTTCTCCAGCCTTGCTCCAGGCTACATAATTTCCTTCCCCTGGAGCATCCAACTGTGGGGTCATCCCTCCTGGAATTGTCTTGGAGTGATGTTTCCTCCTTCCCTTTCTCTTGCTCCTCTCTAACTTCCTTCCCCACTCGGATCCTCATTGCTTTCCCTTCCCTTCGGCTCCTCCATTCTGTTCTCCTTGGCTTGGGAAAGCTCCAGTTGGGAAGGAGCCCAGTTTTCCATCTCTCTGCCTCCATCCTCACCTCCCAGCCCTAATGAATGAGTTTTTTCCTTCTTCTCCTAATGCTCTTTTCTCCAGCTTGGCTGAATGGGACTCACCAGATCCAATTATTTCTAATCCAATCTGGTGACGGGGGGATGAGGGATAACCCAGCCAGTCCCTCTTTCCAAGTGGACTTTCCAGGTCCCTTGGAGCAGCCAGCTCCAGCTGCAGTGCTCAGGACTTGGATCCCTTAAACCAGTGGAGATTTCTCCAGCGCAGTCCACCAAGTCTGGAGAGTGGCTCAGCAACGTTTGGGTGGTGTCATCTCCCAGCTAATGCTCACTGAACTCCTGAGATTCCTTTATTTTATAAAAATTCCCTCCCAATATGAAATTAAATAACTCCTTGGATGTATTTACTGCTCTAGGCCGGGTTTAAGAGGCGTGGTCTCGGTCATTGCCAATGTTGGGAATTCAAAACCATCTCTCAGGCTTCAAAAATCTTCATAAAAAGGCGGAAAAAAGCAGGGAATTTTTTTTTTAAATCCCCATGGTTTTAGAATTGGTGTTTTGGTAGACGTGAGGTCAGAATTTTTCGAGACAAGAAGGAGAAGAAAAGGAATCCAAAATGTTGATCTCCGACAGTGACTGGTGGTTCTGGCTTCAGAGCGCGGTGACGTCACAAACGTCCTTGTGCTGAGGGAACGTTGTTGGTGCTGGAACAAAACTGGAGCTAAAGCGGTGTCAGGAATCCGTGACACTCGAGGAGAGGGAGGGAAGGAGGGCAGAGCGCTGCCAGAGGCACGGGACAGCCCTGGGGAGGTTCCTCTCCCACTGATGGAGTTTGATCCTGGTTTCCTGTGGCGGGATGTTAGGAAGTGGTGGTGTCTCGAATTCCTGGGTCTGCTCATGTCTGTGTGTCCACTCCTGTGTCCCTGTGTCCACTCATGTCCCTGTGTTCATGTGTCCACTCGTGTCTGTGTGTCCACTTCTGTGTCTGTGTGTCCACTTGTGTCTGTGTGTCCACTCCTGTGTCCCTGTGTCCACTCATGTCCCTGTGTTCGTGTGTCCACTCGTGTCCGTGTGTCCAATCCTGTGTCTGTGTGTCCAGCCATGTGTCTGTGTGTCCACTCCTGTGTCTGTGTGTCCACTCATGTCTGTGTGTCCAATCCTGTGTCCGTGTGTCCATGTGTCCACTCCTGTGTCCCTGTGACCATGTGTCCACTCCTGTGTCCATGTGTCCACTCGTGTCCGTGTGTCCACTCGTGTCTGTGTGTCCAGCCATGTGTCCCTATGTCCACTCTCGTGTCCTTGTGTCCACTTGTGTCCATGTGTCCATGTGTCCACTCCTGTGTCCATGTGTCCAGCCACGTGTCCGTGTGTCCAGCCCTGTGTCCATGTGTCCAGCCATGTGTCTGTGTGTCCAGCCCCTGTGTCCATGTGTCCAGCCTTGTGTCCGTGTGTCCAGCCATGTGACCCTGTGTCCAGCTACATGTCCGTGTGTCCAGCCCCCGTGTCCATGTGTCCAGCCCTGTGTCCGTGTGTCCAGCCCTGTGTCCGTGTGTCCAGCCATGTGTCTGTGTGTCCAGCCATGTGTCCGTGTGACCAGCCCTGTGTCCGTGTATCCAGCCCTGTGTCCGTGTGTCCAGCTCCCCCTGTCTCCCTCAGCCCCAGCAAGGGATTGCTCTGGAGGAGAAAACCTGCGCAAAGCAGTTGGAAAAAGCTGGATTTGATCTGGGCTCAGGAATTTGCACCGTGGGCGATTCCTCATCCCTGGCCGTGTCCCGGGCCAGGCTGGACACCGGGGCTCGGAGCACCTGGGACAGTGGAGCTGTCCCTGCCCATGGATGTTCCTTAAGGTCCCTTCCCACCCAATTCTGGAATTCTGTGGAGCACTGGAGCAGGTTCCCCAGAGCAGCTGAGCTCCAAAGGGAGCCGCAGGGTGGGAGGGAGCAGCTCCAGGCTGTGCCAGGGAAGGTTCAGCTGGATTCAGGAAGGATTCCTTCACCAAAAGGTGTCAAGCACAGCTCCTGGGGCAGGGAGCCCCGATCCTGGAGGGATTCCAAAGCCCTGACTGTGGCTGCTGGGGACATGGGGCAGTGCTGGGAATGGTTGAACTGGATCTCAGAGGGCTTTTCCAGCCCCAGTGGTTCTGTGGTTGTGCCAGGTTTGGTGAGGAGAACCCCCCTGATTCTGTTCCGTGTTTCCACCAGCTGCAGGTCCCGCTCAGCGCCTGCCTGGGGTCAGTGATAAACCCGGCCTTGGTGTTTAATGATCAGTTTGCTTCAACACCATCCTTCGGCCAACCCTAAGTAATTAAACTCATTAACAAATCCTCGATGGCCCTTTTGCTTTGGTGGCCTGAGGTTGAGCAGTTCCTGCCCCTCATGGGCCGTGGGAAGGAGCTCACAGATCGGCAATAGCAATTTCCAAAGTGTAGAAAACAAACCCTCGTTAATTCCCTAAATCCAGTCCTTGTGCTGGGGGTCTGGGGGATGGGATCTGATCTCCAGCCACATTTAATTTCATTTAATTTCATATTCCCAGCAGGGGGGTTGCTGGAAGTGGGGACTGAGTTCACCACATTAAATCTGGAAGTAAAATTTTTATTTTGCTGCCCTCACAGTGGTGCCTCTCCCAGCTCAGTAGTTTTCTTTCTTCTGCTCTCCCACTTCATTGTCAAATCCTCCATCAAACCTCCAAGCTGGGTCTGCAAATTCAAATCCAAAATTTGTCATGGGCACAGATTAACCATGGCCAGGCTAAATACCCAAATAAGGCAGCCCAGCTAAGCCAGGCTTAAAGCTGGCTTCTCCCAAAGCCACGCATTAGACTGAGTTACAGTTCCTGGAGGTGTTCAGGCTTTGAAAAGATTCATCCCAACACCTGCCAAATGCAAAAAAAAAGAGAAATAAAAATGGATTCGGTGATTTTTGAAGGGGTAGAAGTTGGAGATGAGCCCTCACTGCTGTGCAGACTGAGCAGGATCACCCTTGGACTCAGCTCTAGGGCTGCGTTTGCTGAGTGTGAGAGGAGGAATTCCCGCTTGTGGTCTGGGTGAAAACCTTGGGAAAGGCTCTGGAATATTCCCTGGGGCTGGAAAAGCAGCTCTGTGTTCATGCAGGCCCTGCCCAGCAGCTGCGCTTCTGCACCTCTTCCTTGCCGGCTGCGGCACGCCGGGATGGGCCGGGATGGGCCGGGATGGGCTGGGATGGGCCGGGATGTGCCAGGATGAGCCGGGATGGGCCGGGATGGGCCGGGATGGGCTGGGATGAG